AATTCTGTAAACCTCTCACATTTTCTACTGTATACTTTCTTTGAATCCTATAAGGAAGATATATTCTCATATTTTCAGCGAACTAAGCTGCTCCAATATCCGATCTGGATTAGTCGATAAATATCTCATGGGTGAGTAAATGAAAAATAAGACTTATCTCAGAAAATCAAAAGCAGAATAGAATAAACCAGAACATCGTTTAAAAAGATGCAAAAAGTACTATATAAAATAGCTTCAATAAAGCTAAAATACATATATATATATATATATATATAATCATTACCGTTTATATAAACTATTATAAAATAAACAATAACAATTCTTGTACTACTTTTTTCTCTTCTCGTTTACGGTAATAAAAAAATGTCCTAATATGAACACATTATTATTACTATTTACGAAATAAACCGTAATTCATTGCCAGGAAAAAGATAATGCGTACATGTAAACCCCATGACGAAATTTAACGCCATAACAAGAAACAAGTTGAAGGACTGTATACTTTCTTCCCAAGAATTCGTTTCGGCAGGCATTTTTATTGCAAGTGTCTTATCAAATGTATTGCGCGGGATCTAGCATTCGTATATGCCATCTGACACCGGTAACGGACTGTTATGTAACCAACAGTTTGCGGTTCGCTTCACTTACTGGAAAATACTTTCCATTTATGACCTGTGCTTCGAGAATGAACGCGACAGTTGAAAGGGAAAGCCGGTCGATATTTTTAAGGGAAGTTATTGGTGAATGCTAATATGGAGTGGTTTATTGTTTGAGAAATAGCCGTAGGTCTGGATAATTCGTAGTTAAATCTTTAAATGTTGTACTATACAGGGTGGACACAATCCTTAATATGTCATTCTTTCAGTTTTCTTTAGATATTCAAGATTCGAGTTCTATTATCTAATAATTATACAGTGCTTTTCAGATAAAACTATCCACCTTAAATATCTTTTAAACCTCTAATTTTTTGGAAAAACGCAAAAAACACGTCAATTAATATCTGAAGGGGGAGACATAATATCATATTAAAGGTTGCTGGAAAATGCACCCTCTCACCCCCTGTATCAACCCTTTATTTTTTTTAAATTACTTCACCCTTTTTTTGTTTTATATTTGGATCTCCTTTTTGTTCTGATTTCAAAAATGTATAATACCTTTGGCTTGAAGTGATTAGTTTATCAGATAGACAATTTTCCTGTTAACAAGACAGCATGTCCCTCACCTTAATTGACTTAACAAAATAGGTTGTAGCATAATTTAAACTCTTTAAATATTTAACTGTACTATTTGTAGTACCTTTAAAAACCAAGAAACAAAAAAATTCACTTTTTATTCAAGTTTTATCAAAGGTTTTCGATATCATTTTTACATTTGTTTTAATCGGTTAACAGCGACAATTTTTTATAACTTGTAGGTAAGTAACAGCTTATTTTTAATACGTGTGCAATTTGATCGCTGAAATAGTGTACACTTTGCAAGAAAGAATCGAAATTGTAGGATTATACTACAAAAATAATAATTGTGCAAGAGCTGCTGCTAGAATTTTTAATGAAATACACCACAATAGACATGCAACTCATAAGTGTGTGATTGAACTGATGCAGAAAAAATTAGATCAAGAGGGTCAGTTTGCAATAAAAAAACATAACCGACAGGAATTAAAAAAACAATCCAAATAGCTGTTTTAGGACAAGTTAACTTAGACTCTTAACAATCACAGTCACTGTCAACAATAAGCAGAGCAATCGGTGTTTCATCTTCTACAGCCTTTCGAGTCCTCCATAAATTTAAGTTTTATCCATATAAAATTAAATTTGTACAAGAGTTAAATGAAGAAGGTTTTGATCGTCGTCCCGAATGTTGCGAATTAATGATAAAATGCATCATTAACAATCCACAATTGTTAAACAATATTTGCTTCTCGGTTGAATGCTCATTCTCATTAAACGGTTTGGTGAACAGATATAATTGCAGATACTGGGCTGACAGTGATCCAGATATTGTACGCGAATTTCACACACAGCATCCTCAAAGGTTAAACGTATGGTGTGGTATCCTACGTAATCACATTATAGGACCCTTCTTTATCACTGGAAACTTAAATAGTGCATCGTATCTTGAATTATATAGGCAAGTGGTTGATCGTTAGAACAATAGTAGCAAATGATGATAACCTTTCCGAAGATTTGGTTGTATTTCAACATGATGGAGCTTCTCCACACTTTGCTTTACCTGTGCGATAATTTTTAAACGAAACGTTTCCCGGTCCTTGGATAGGTAAAATACGACAGATGATCGATTGGCCACCTAGGTCACCGGATTGAACACCCCTAGACTTCTTCTTAGGGAGTACTTAAAAACAAAAATTATACTACTCAACCAGAATATCTAGATAATTTACAGCAAAGAATAGAGGATGAATGTCGACAATTAAATGCAGACGTGTTGAGCAATGTCAGAGAAGAATTTTAAAATAGATTGTACTATTGTATGGAAGTGAAAGGCAGTCATTTTGAACAATTATTGTAAAAATTTTTAGTAGTGAAATGTTTGTTCTAAATGTGTGTAATAAAATTGTTAAAAAATATTTTTTTTTCAATTCAATTTTCTTGCTTTTGTATTTACTTTTCTTATAAACTAATCACTTCAGGTATCATGTATTATACATTTCTGAAATCAGTAAAAAAGGAGAATCCAAATATAAAATAAAAAAAGGGGGAAGTAATTTAAAAAAAATAAAGGGTTGATACAGGGGGTGAGAGGGTGCATTTTCCAGCAACCTTAAATATGATATTATGCCTGCCCCTTCAGATTTAAAGTGTTTTTGCGTTTTTCCAAAAAATTAGAGGTTCAAAAGTTATTTAAGGTGGATAATTTTATCTGAAAAGCACTGTATAAGCAATTAGTATATCCAATCATAAAATAGACAAAATTTGAGACTTTTCGGATGTATATTTTCCTTTTGGTTGTTTTCAAATATTTAATTCTTTTCTCATCGAACCCTGCCCAATTTTTTTGTATACGTAACTCTCTCTTCCTTTCTCTCTCTCTCTCTCTCTCTCTCCCTCTCCCTCTCTTTTCTCTTTTCTCGAAAGGAGAGGGGATAACGATTATATAAAGATAGAAAGACAAACAGGGTGACTACCAAAAAGGCACTACACAGCATCTTCCTTATTAAAGTACGTTGAGTTACATACGAAATACCAGATGTCACTATGGATAAAAATAGATTTACTATAAGACAAATTTGGATTTATTGACTTAAAGAAGTCCTCTGGCTGAGTACAAAATAAACAAGTGATTGAATTCTAACATGTGACATAACAAATGAAATAGGAGGATATAACGAATATTTTAAGACAGAAAAAGCAAACAAGGCGACAACCAAAAGTCATTTGCTACATATACATATAACATAGTCTAGTACTTAATAGTTCTTCTTATTTGAGTACCGTACCCAAGTATTAGGCGTGGGTAGCTTCCATGACGATTTGCCGATATCGTTCTCGATCTTGCGCGCCATGTAATAATTTTATCTGCTAATAAGCCAGTCCATTGACGAAGGTTTCGGAGCCATGAGTAATTCTTTTTACCAATTTCTTCCGTTGATCTTTCCGTTGAGTATCAACTGCATTATCCTGTATCTGCTTCCTCTCATTATATGCTCCAGATATTCGAGTTTTCTCTTTTTTATCATCTTTATTATTAAGTCACCTTGGTACAAGAGGAGGACGGCACATGGAGAATCAGGAGAAACGACGAGGTTAATGAGTTAAATGAAGGTTATGACATTGTAAGATTTGTGAAAAGTCAAAGACTGTCATGGCTGGGACATGTGCAGAGACAAAACGATGCAAAAACAACAAAGAAAATGTTACAATGGAAGCCCATAGAAAGGCGAAAAAAAGGAAGGCCCAGAACGAGATGGTTGGATGACGTGGAAGACGACCTGACAACAATGAACATAAGACAATGGAGGAAAAGGGCACAAGAGAGATCTGAATGGAAGGACATAGCCAGACAGGCAAAGACCCATCCGGGGTTATGAAGCTAAAAGAAGAAGAAGAAGAAGAAGAAGATTAAGTCACCTTCACCTTGACCTACTCTGTTCAAGACTTCTCTGTTTGAAATGTGTTGAACCCATGATATTCTGAGCATTCTACAATATAACCACATCTCGAAGGCTTCTAATTTGTTCATCATGTTAACCTTCATAATCCAGGTTTCACATCCATAGAGTAATACAGGATATACATAACATTTTAGGAACTTAATTCTCAGCTGTAAGATTGTTAATAATGCTCAGATTGTTGATTGTTAGTAATGCTGTTGATAATATTGCTCAGAATATATCCAAGTTTCATAAATGCTCCTCTTGTAATTTCAATACGAGTTTTAATTTCTTCATCTGGATTTAGTGTCCCGTTTATCCAACATCCTAGATATTTAAAATGGTTAACTTTTGTTATCGGTTCATTATTGACAATTAGCTGTATAGGCTGCAAAACCTTAATGACAGCATTGAGAGCATACATGAAGAAACTACAATGGGTCTCACCTATCCTTCGGCTGTCTTGGTCTATTGTCTCGGTCGCTTTTTGTGAAATGGTACTTTAATATAAACTAGGAAACTACCCCAACGTTATGCCATGCGATTGGAGCGAGATAGATGGCAGGGAGTGCAGAACTACGATGAAGCCAGATGTATACTCCTTACTCCGGGGAATTTTATGTCACAAGGAGCTGGGATTAGAAAGTGAGTAGTTCAGCAATTGTTGATCTACCACATAAATTAGGTGCTTTTGGTACTTTAAGTGCTTTTAACACATCCTACGTTCTTGTTATTTCATTTTAGTCAAACGCTTTCGAATAATCGACAAATGAGAATAATTTTAACATAAAATGTATACACTTTATAAAATGTATAAAATTGTACACTGTATAAAATTTATATTATTAGAAATCGAGTGCAATCGCGAAGATAATCAAAAGATACTTACGTGGCCAAGTGCATGTTAATTCGTTTAAAGAAGCCAAAGGTCATTGGTAATAGTTCTGTTGAAAGTTTTCGTTTGGGTAATTTGCGTTATTATTTAAATGTTGACATTAGTGCAATTGAAAATTATTATTATTGAGGACAGATGGTTCAAGAGTAGTACGGTGTGGAAATCATTTTACTTATATACCGGGCACAGAAGGTGTCAGAAAATAAATAAAATAAGTATATAAGGAATTTAATAAACTAAAAAATGGATATATTTAAAAAGTTAGGTTTATAAATAATACACATAGTAGTACTGTTATTAAATGGACACAAAATTTACTAACATGCTCACAACAGATTCTTTTTTATCAAAATAAAATATTAAACAACAAATTAGAGTTATGTTACATTTTTTAAAGGATTCCATGTTTTAAATATACAGTGACCGGCAAAAAAGTGACCACCCTAGAAATTTACGAAAATAAAAGTTTATTGGAAGTTTTATCCACTGTTCCATATTGTATTTTTAACATATTTTATTTTTAAAACAAAAAATGCCATTACTGTTTGATTTCTTAGCATATTTTATTTAACTAGAAGGCATCAAAAAAAAATAGTGTGATATCGAAACAAATTACAAACAATAAAAATTCCGCGTGAACTTAAACAAAATTAACAAGGAATCTACGTTCCTGTAGTTGGCTGTATACCATATATTAAAAATTTTTATTAAAAATCTTTTGTAAAAGGTGTATATTAAGAACCCAAACGGGCTAAGATAAAAAGACAAAACGTTTTCGGAATCCATATTCCATCATCAGTGTCTAAGAGTACATGAATGTAGCCACTAAATATATGGGTAAAAACCCGTTAACAAATAATTAATTACATTTGGTTTACAAATTTTCCTATAATGGAAAATTTGTAAACCAGAAAAAATGAATTGTAAACCAAATGTAATGAATTATATTTTGTTAACGGGTTTTTACCCATATATTTAGTGGCTACATTCATGTACTCTTAGACACTGATGATGGAATATGGATTCCCAAAACGTTTTGTCTTTTTAACTTAGCCCGTTTGGGTTCTTAATATATACCTTTTACAAAGGATTTTTAAACAAAATTGTCTAATATGGGGTATTATGCCCTAAAACATCAATAACCGTTGCATACGATTTGGAAGGGAAAGGAAAAAATTTTGAATAAAACTTAAGGAATACGTTCATATTCTTCACGAAGCATGTTTTGAAGTTATGCAAGACTTTCTGGCTGGCCTAGTTGACTTATAACCCTACAATGCAGTTCATCCCAAAAATGTTCGATGATATTCAGATCGGGGCTACAGGCTGGCCATTCTAGAGTCTTAATTCCAAATTTCCCCAAGTAATATGTCATGATTCTTACAATATGCTGATATGCAGATTATTCCTAATAAGAGAACTAAATGAAACTACTGCTTCTGCCCAAACATTCTTTATATACCAGTGAGAATTCAGGAGCCATTGATGGAAATAAGTTCAGTTCGAGTTTCAAATGAGATTCCAGCCCAAACCATGACACCACCAACGCCAAACTTTCTTCTATAGGACATACAAGCTTGGGCATATCTGTCATTGCTTTGTCTCCAAGCCCTCTCTCGGCCATCGCCAGACTTCAAACAGAACCACGATTTAAAAATTAATCGATTCCTACTATGTCTGGGTTGTAATTCGGGAACAATAACCTGCCTTTTTGCTACTAGCCCTCTTTCATTGAGGCGTCTTATAACCGTTCTCCCACTTACATTTCTATTTTAAAACTCCTGAAGACGTTTCTTCAGCAATTGCAGTGGAATTAAAGTTCCATCACATTAAAATGATTATCTCTTTGCAAGGTAACTCTTCTACGACCAGAACCATAGACGTCGAAACTGTCAAAAATAGGCATACAAGATCGCAAAACATATTTAATTTGAGATGCAATATGATACAGTGCATAAAACTTTCAATGACTTTTTATTTTCGGAAATTTATAGGGTGGCCACTTTTTTTGCCGCTCAGTGTACTGTATAAACTAACAATTTTATTTTTGTAGTTAGTAAGCTAGACTGTAAACCAACAACATAGGTTTTTGCACTTGATATTTAAATAAGATGCTAAATGAAACCAGTGTTGAGAAAAATATGCACAGAACAAAAATAGAATATAAAATAAGTAGTGATATAAAATGCAGTTATTGTAATGTAAACATAGCAAGAAAGTAAAGAATTAAAATAAAGGTTAGTAGCATAGGGGAGAATAATAATTATTTTAATGATTATTATATATTCCAAATCAAATAAGGGATAATTAATACAGTAAAGTATACATTTTAAATTACACAAAGAAATTGACCTAGTTCGTGCATTGTTTGATAATTGTTTAAACGTAGAAAAAGCACGTCAAACAGTAAAAATAACACGTGACCCAAATGAAGCATAGGACTTACAACTCAGCGAAAACACGACCTTGGCACTATAACCGGCATTGAAAATACGAGCTCAATAAAAACAAGAAGAACAAAGGAGTCGGGGCAGTCGGTGTCTTCGGGCAGGGTTGTTAATACGAGGGACAGCTCCGGTTTTTTGGATTACGCACGAATGTTATATTTCGACGGGTATAGTACCGCGTAAGTGTCGAGTACCGGAGTTCGAAGTTCGTGACAAAACGAAATAGTCTCCTCAACTGAATCCTAATTTCCAGAGGAATTGAAGGGCGTGTCACTAGCTAGAGCCTAACTACACGAAAGGTAACAAATTTCTATATACTAACCTGACAAATTATATAGTACAGATTGTCACCCCTTTACTTTCTTGCTAAGCTCTCTTCTCGTCTTCCTTCGCGCCGAACGACTTATTATTGATTATATTTGACAGCTTGTTAACTTAATTGTAATCCACTTAGTATATTCAATACATTGTAGACTCTAAGGTTGTAGTTCCTTCCTAATGTTCCTTCCGGCCAATTCAGACAGAGACCAGGAGAGTACAAGATTTCTGCTTATGCATATCTCCGGCTTCTAAAGTAAGCCCATAAACTCGACTCCTTTACAGGACCTGAGACCTAGAAGTCCTTAACCCTTATTCCGAACCCTCCCTACCTTCTCGTAAATCCACAAAAGAGAACCAGTCAGTTCGGACCAGTGGACCAGTAAGACTTGCAGCCGTTCGCAGGGATAGCATCCTTTAAGGTTCATATCGAGTACATCACATTATAACATAATTTAAAGTAATGTGGGTAATGTTATTAAAAAGATACTAAAAAAAGTTTACCAAAGATATTATAAAATAATGATATTTTATGGTAGTAAAACAGGCGTCCCAGAAAAATGTCGTTCTTTCATTTAATCCCATACACACATATTTAGGTGCCTTTTGGATCGCACTCATTCGTATTCTCCTTCTTAAGGTGCCCGTCTGTTCCGAACGTTGGCGATCATTCTGAATATGATGACTTTGTTGGTTGCTATATGGAATATCTGTATTGAGGTCTTTTTATACCATGCTCTCAAGTTAGCAAGCCAGGATATTCTTCTTCGTCCTGGAGCCCTTTTTCCGTAAATTTTACCTTGCAAAATTCATTGAAGTAGCTTGTATCTGCCTTGATTTCTCATTATATGTCCCGACTACTGCAGCTTACGGCCCTTCACGATGTTGACCAAATCCGCAGTTGTGTTCATCCTTGCAGTAATTCTTCATTGGTGTCTTTGTCTGTCCACGGCATCTTCAAGATCCTTCTGTATAGCCACAGCTCAAAAGCCTGAAGGTTTTAATAGAGTTTTCGCCTTCAATATTCACGTTTCTACTCTGTACAGAAGCACTGAGTACACATTTAAGGAGCCTCATTTTTATTTCTAGGGTGAAGTCATGGCTCTTGAACACAGAGCTCATAGTCAAGAATGCATTTTTGACCTTTCCGATGCGACATGTAATCCCTTGAGTATTGTTCCACGACTCATTGATTACAATTCCCAAATAGTTGTATTGTGAGACACGTTCATTTCTCATTTGGTTCACATACAGATTTGCTCCAGTTATATTTTCCTCGCTGATGATCATTAACTTGGTGTTACTGGTGTTTATATCTAGTCCATATTTTTTACTTGTTTCCGTTATTTTGTTCATTAAGTTTTACAGCCCTTCTATTGTATTGGAAAATACTATTGTATTATCTGCATACCGCAGGTTATTGAGCCTGACTCCATTTATTGAGATGCCTTCATTAATATCTGTTAGAGCCTCTTCAAAAATGTGCTTCGAGTACAGATTGAATATCAGTACTGAAATTATGCTCCCCTGTCTCCCTCCTCTTAAGATTTTGACCTGATCTGTATATTCTCCATCTATTCGAAGCACTGCTGATTGATTCCAATACAGGTTAGCTGTTATATTCAAGTCTTCTCCGCTAATCCTATCCTCTTTACACTTCCATTATTTGTTCATGCCTGACCCTATTAGAAGCCTTCTTGTAGTTTATCAGGCATGCAAAAACATTACAGCTGACATCTCTACATCTCTGAAACAATACCTCCACGCTAAATAAAGCTTCCGTCGTACCAACGCCGTTCACAATTCCAAACTGATTGGGCGCAATTTGTTCCTCGCATTTTAGGTAAATTCTTTTGTAGATGAATTTAAAAAACAGCTTCAGCAGATGGCTCATTAGCCTTATGGTCCTATAATCTTCACAAACTTTTGCTATGAGTTTTTTGGGCAATGGTACGTACTCCGATTTGAGTCACTTTACTGATATTTTTCCTGTCTTGTCTATTTCATTAAATATTTTAGTTAATATTTATTCTACATCTAATAGCTTCAACAGTTCTGCAGGAATTTTATCAAGTCCCGGTGCCTTTCCATCCTTTATCTGTCTGACGTCTGCCGTTATTTCTTCTGGTAGGAATTTGGCATCTAAATTTTCTTTAATGGTGGGCTCTTATATTGTTCTAAGGTCATGGAAAAGTTTCTCCAAGTATTATTCCCATACTTTCTTTTTATCTTCTGTAGTTATG